ATATATTTCATCATATAGGATATATCTCATTGTTTACATTGCTTATCCTAGCTCATATATCTTGTTGTACTTCATACTTGCTAGGATAATTTGTTAATTAGTTTTAATTGGTATTTTAATCGGATTAAATTCGCATAAGACCCTAATCACCCCCCTGTAGGGTCTAGCACTCTTCAACTTCTAATGAGATCTCTCCATCAATAATGGACCAAGCAGATTTATAAAAGGATGCACTAAACCCATCAGGTCCTGGGGCTTTGTTGTCTGGCATTGAGAATATTGCTCCTCTAATTTCATCCTTAGTGATTGGCTTTGATAGTTCTCTGGCCTGGCATGCACTCAGACAAGTGCCTTATTGAATAACTAGATCTTCAGGTTTGGAAGTATGAACTGCTGTACCCATCAAGTTTTTATAAAAAGAGATAAACTCCTTCGCTATTTCATCACCATCAGTAAGCCTAGCTCCCTGGCTATTATAGAGGACCAGAATTCTATTATTGTGCCTGTTGGTTTTAATAGCTGAATGAAAAAGCTTTGAATTTCTGTCACCTTGAATAGACCAGGCAGTTCTTGCTTTCTGCTGATAGAAAGATAGTTCATGATCTAAGAGCTTATTGTATAAAACAATAGACTCCCTTTCTTGATTGATAAAGGCAGGATTGAGAGGGTCAGCCTGAAGTTTCTTTTGGATATCCTCCAACTCAACTTTAGCTCTTATAACTTGTTCACTTATATTTCCAAAATGCCTTTTATTAAGAGACTTTAAAGCTCCTTTCAGCTTTTTAAGTTTTGTGCAGACAGAATACATATGAAAGCCCACAACATGAGATTTCCATGTGGCTGAAATAGTGGGTAGAAAGTCAACATGCTCCGTCCACATTTTAAAAAATCTAAAGGGCTTTTTACCTTGAGAACAATCATCATAAACTGAGACAATAGCTGGGAATGATCTGAAAAATTAGGTAACATGAACTCCACATGACTAGAGTTTAACTGATGAATCCAATCATCATTTACCAGAGCTCTGTCCAGACAGCTCCAAACTCTTGTATCCTTATCTTGTTTGCTGTTCCAAGTGAAGAAACATCCTATGGTTTTCATGTGGGAGAGCTGACAATCTTCAATAAATAAGCTAAAGTCATTGGTATCAGCATCAGGCCATCAGTTAAATCAGAGCCACCCAGTTTCTCATCACTGCATAGCTCTGTATTGAAGTCTCCACATATAAGCCATGGTATGCTACCAATTGAATTATGAATAAGAGATAATTCTGTCCATAAATCCTTCCTTGTTTGCATATTATTATAGTCATACACTGATGATATCACACATGAAAACCTTCCATCAATAGAATTGACCCTACATGAAATCTGTTGGCTAGATAGGTTAATTTGTTGAATATCCAGAATGTTAGGATCCCATAGTATAAGAATCGTAGCCTTCTCAGAGCTATTCACATTTGAAAACAATTTCCATTCCTTAGCAATTCTCCTTGTTGTATTCACCATTTTAGATTCCTTAACATTTGTTTCCAGGAGAGAGATAAAAGAGAGGTGATAAAACTGTAAATGTTGCTTGATCAACAGTTGTTTAGAGGGTTTATTTAACCCTCTCACATTCCAAAAAGATAGATTCATTTTATTGAAAGCCCTCTATCAACTGTAGAGGGGTCAAAAACTATGCTCTCCAATGGTAAGAAGGAGTTGCCAGGAGTCTTATTGTTTGATGATCTAGGTAAAACATCAATAGAGTTGCCATGTATTCTAGTTTTATTACCTTGAACAGGTATCCGGTGTTATATTCATGGGAACTCCCAGACTCAGGGAATTGCCTGTGCACAACATGCACAGACCTAGCCTCAGTAGCCTCCCCCGGAATATTTACCAAATATGCAGGTTCAGAGTACTTATCTGCATAATGTGTCTCATTAATAGAAGAGTTCCCCTGAATGTGCATTCCACTGTAAGGAGATTTTCTAAAAGAATCCCCTAAAACATGCACCACATGCACAGGTGATTGGAGATTTTTACCAGCCTGCTTAAAATCATGTGCAACTGATTTTCCCTTATTATTCTCCTCAATAGTATGCTGATTGACAACATTCAGATTATGTACATCAGAGGTAGGAGCTACCACATGCACATGTGACTGGAAATTTTTACCAGCCTGCATAAACTCATGTGCAACTGATTTTCCCTTATTATTTCCATCAATAGTATCCTGATTGACAACATTCAGATTATGTACATCAGAGGTAGGAGCTACCAGGTTGATATCACCAATAACTGGCTTAACCTTAGGAATCCATTTCTGAATATTCCTCTTTTTCTTACAGAAATTTGTATAATGACCCACAAATTTTCAAATATCACACCACCTAGGCTTAAATTCTTGAAGCACCTTCTGGTTATAAGTTTTACCATTTGGCCCTTGGATAGAGATGTGGTCAGGTAGATGTGATGGCATTTTAACCTCCACCAACACCCTAGCATATGACAGTCTTTGTTTATTAGCTGTTAACATATCAGTTGTAATAAGCTTCCCTATGATGCTGACAATCTTGCTTATACTCTTGGAATTCCGCAAATTAAGTCTCAAAGCTGGCAATTGAATCCACAAAGGATACAGACATTCATCAGATTTATTTGTTTCCATATCAATAGTCCAAGGTTTTAAAAGCATTGGTCTTGAACCAAAAAATCAAGGGCCACTACATAGAACTTCATTCATAGCATCCTTATCTTTGAATTTAAACAGGAACAAGCCTACCTTTAAAAGATAGATTTCAGGAGCTTGGGACCAAACCTTGTGCACATAACTTTCCATAGCCTTGAAACTAACATTTAAACCAAGAACTTGTCCAATTATAGAGGAAGACCACATTGAAGCACCATCATTCCACTCTTCTTCATTGAGTATAACTGAATCATTAGTATCTGAAGGCAAGTAATTCAAAACCATGCCTTTCCCAGGTCTTCTGTTATCTGAGAACAGGCTACTCCAGCTCTTTGCAGGAACTTTAGAAACCTCAAGAGGAGGATCCATAGTTTCATCTAAACTAGCTTTATTCTCCTTATTCAGAACCAAAGAACTATCATCAACATTATTTTTAGTCTTTGACTTCAAAGAACCAGCTTTTTCAACAATCCTTATATTTGAATTCAAGAGCACAGGATTAGAGATAGGTAAAGATCTTGACGAAGATAACTCCGATTCAATCTCCTCAGCCCAAGAAATCCTAGCAGAGAGCTTTTCGCTATTACAAGAAGAAGAGGACTTACAGAGGTGACGATCTGAACTTCCTGCCACCGGAGGCTTGTATACCTGACGATCT